ATTCTCATTTATTCTTTCTTATTTTCATCTAACTCATTTATTCTTTCTTATTATCATTTATCTCATTTATTCTTTCTTATTCTCACCTATCTCATCTATTATTTCTTATTATCATCTATCTCATCTATTATTTCTTATTATTATTTATCTCATTTATTCTTTCATATTCTCACCCATCTCTATTATTATTTCTTTTTCTCACTTATCTTATCTATATTTGTGATTAATCTGAATATCATGAAAAAAGCATTGATTTCTAAAATCGCGTTTTTGCTTATGATATTATGAATCCTTACATAAAATTTGGTGCTTTACAATGCTAGTATACTATCTTTTTCTCCTTATTGATGCTAAAAATAATTTAATTTAATATGTTTTCTAAAAATGATATTTGACAGTGAAAATTATATTAATATAAACTTTATCAATTGCTGATAAATATATGTTTCTTTGGGATTTTTCTTGCTTTAATGCTGCGGCACTTCACATATTTTTTCTTACTTTTGTGATATGAACTTTCGAAAAAACTCACCTTGGAATTTTTTTTTAAAAAAAAACTCACCTTCAAAAATTTTTTTTTAAAAAAACTCACTTGTGATGTGAAAAAAGTTTTAAAAATTAAATAGTCCCCCTAGTTTTATAATAATATTAAAACTTTTATTTTATATCAATAATAATTATGCAATAATTTTTTATTAATAATAATAAAAAAAATGATTCAGATTATTAATCTAGTAAAGAAAGATAAAGTTTAAAGATGAATAAATCATAAGTAATCAAGCGATTTCTTTATTTTCACATTACCGGCTAAGCCAATATTGTATCATTCCTTTTATCTTTCTTTACTTTATTTTATAATATATCACAGTTATATTTCCATTACATACATCACAATAAAACATGCGCGACTATTTATCGCATATGTTATGTGAATGTTTCCATAAGTTTTTTTAATTTGCTTGAGATCATTAAAATTTCAATTGGTGAGCATTTGCACACGTTATCTTTAAGATATTCCAACTCTGAATCCTCTGCGAATTCAATTACATGAAGGTTTTTACAGTAAGCAAAAGCAAGGTTTCCGATCTCGTTTACATGACGAGGAATCAAAATGCTTTTTATTAAAGAAGAGAAAAAAGCTTCTTTTTCAATTGAAAGCAAATTTGAATTCTCTGTAAAAATGCATTCTTTAAGTTTATTACAGAAATAAAAAGCACGTTCGCCAATACTTGTCACTCTAGAAGGAATAGAAATGAAATGAATCGCACTTCTTGAAAAAGCATATTTATCAATCATTTTCAATCTTGAATCGTCCGGGATTTCAATTCTATTAAGTTTATTACAATAATAAAAAGCACGCTCACCAATAAGAGTGACAGTTTTAGGAATAGAAATTTGATTCAATGAACAACAAAAGAAGGCATTTTTTTCAATTGCAATTAATTTTGAATCAGCATTGAAAAAGATGTTTTTAAGTTGATTACACATAGAAAAAGTTCCTTCGCTTATATGAAAAATATTTGATGGAAAAGAAATCGTCATTAATGATGATTGTGAAAATGCTTGCTTACCAATTGATTGCAATTCTGATGGCCTTGAAAATTCAATTCTCTCAAATTTCTTACAACTTGAAAAAACTGATTCACCGATTTGAATTACATTCGATGGAATTTTGATGTATTCAAGAGAAGATCCAAAAAAGGCAAGATTTTCAATAAATTGCAATTTAGAATCATCAGAAAAATGTATCCTTTCAAGTTTATCACACTGAGTAAAAGCACCTTCACCAATTTTAATGACATTTGAAGGAATCGTGATGCTTTTCAACGATGCTTTTGAAAATGCAAATTTTTCAATTGATAACAATTCAGAATTTTCAGAAAAAATGATTTTGTTGAGTTTTTTACATCCATTAAATGAATATGAATCTATTCTTCTAACAAACGATGGAACGATAGCAGTTTCAATGCCTCTTCTAGCGAAAATGAGAACATCATAATTATCGTTTTCAATTTCTGATTTTCCAAGAATTAACTCATTATTATAATATAGAATATTACTCTTGCTTTTGTTTATTATTTTAATGTTAGTTAAGTTTCCTGTCTCACAACACCAACCTTCTTTCAATTCAACAATGCTGCTTGGAATTGTGAGGCTTTCTAACGAAGAGCCTGAAAAAGCTTCTTTTTCAATTATTTTTAAATTTGAATTTGACATGATTTCAATACTTTTGAGACGCTTACAGAATGAAAAGGAACGTTTTTCTATTATTGTTACGCTTGACGGAATTGTGATCCTCTCAATTGTTGAATAAGAAAAAAGGTTTTTCTCAATTAAATTCAATTTTGTATTATTTAAAAATTCCACTTTTTCTAATTGCTTGCAATGATAAAAGGCACGTTCTCCTATATAAGAGACATTTGATGAAATTATAGCATATTTCAATGAAGAACAATAAAATGCTTCTTTTTCAATTGAATTCAATTCTGAATCTTCTGAAAATTGAATAGAATTAACGCTTTTTGATGTTTTAAAAGAATTTTCAATGATGCTTGTGACCAAAAAGTTTTCTGATCCATCCGATACATACTTTGGTATATATACATCACCAATTATCGTTTGATTAAAGAAAACTGCTGCTGTTTTTTCCTTTTCATTCAAAACATATGAAATGTTGTTTTGTTTCAATTTTTTTTGAGTTAATAAATCAATTAATTTGAAATTTCCTTTTTCACAGACTTTTATTAATTCAGCTTTGGCCTTGATAAAATTTGGATATGATTTAATTTTGTTGTCATGAAAAATTAACTTAATAATTTGATGATAATTTTTTGTTTTTTGTAAAAGTAAGTCATTTTTTTCTTTGATTTGATTTTTTGTCTCTTTATTTTTATTGGATAAAGAAGGATTTCGGACAAGTTTTTGATAAACTTGAATTAAATTTTTCATCTGCTCGAATTCTTGACTTAATTTATTGTATTCATTTATATTACTAAAATTTATATCAGGAACTATTTTGTTCACCCAATAATTAATGAAAGATTGGAATACAACGTCACAAGTATCTGATTTGACTTCATATTCACCATTTGAAATTAAGATTTCATATATTTCTGGCTTAACATTAGATAGAAAACGAAAATAAGAAGGAATTTGAAATCTTTTCTTTTTTAATATCAAGATAAAAGACATTTAGTTAAAATTTATTTTTTTTTTGAATTAAAAATTATCGTTGTTTGGTTCGAATTTAATTCATTAAACCCAATTAAATATTAAGTTTGGACATTTCAATAAAATATATACCATAATCAGATTATTTAATATTATCAATCTGCTTTTATGTAAAACAATAATAATATTATATTTTAAAAATTGATGAAATTTATTGAAATAATTGAAATTAAGGAATATTTCATTTACTGTGCTAGTAAATATTTGGAATAAAAGAGAACTGTTCATATAATAAAGAAATACAATTTAAATATTATTAAATAATTTTTCCTTAAGGTTTAAATGAAGCAATATTATATAGAATCATATTTTTATTTAATTTACATTAACATTAATAAAAAAATAACGATTTTTTTTCATGCAATTGAACAATCATCTTTCTTTCCTTTTTTAGAATGCTTTTTGTTATGCCCTTTTTTATTTTTGCTTGCTTTTTCTTCTTTTAGATTATTTTTAAGATTCATTTGCTGCTTATCTCTTTGATTATTATCTTTGTTTTTGTCATTTATTGCTTTGAGCGTCATTTTACTCATTTTCTCTTCATATTTGGTCATATTTGAATGCTTTGCAATAAAGTTGGACCAATTAAAAGTATCAGGAGAAACTTTATCCTCTTTCATTCCACTTTCAAAAAGATTTTCAATGTGTTTGTAATCAGGTTTATCTTTGTATTCAAGTTTTTTCAAGTAGTCGTAAATTTTTTGAAATTGTGAAGGAAATTCATAATTTAAATCTGAAACTTTGAAGGATTTTTTCATAGATATTGACTTTAATTTATCTTTTTCTTCTGCCCAAGGAAGAGATCCGCATGCAAGATAAAGAAATGTGTAAAACCAAGCAATTAGATCATCTTTTCTTCCGCATGATTGAGATGAAAGAACATCAATTGATGCAAATATAATGGTTCCTAAAAACATATGCTCATTTTTGCATGGATAAGGTTTGTTTGTATTCGGGTCTATGTGTCTTGCACTGAGATTGAAATCAATTAGAACAATCGGATATTTGGGGTTTTGCTGTATAAGAAAATTACCTGGTTTTATATCTCGATGAACAAAACCAAATTTATGAAAAGCTTTGATGCATTCAAGCATTTTTAATGAAACATTATATGCAATATTGATATCGAAATTATAATCATGATAACTATGAATATCTCCAATAGAAGCACCAAAGTAACTCATTATTAAGTAATTAATATTGTACTTTTCGCTTGTTCCTGACTCGATATATTTTGGAAAATAGTGACCTTTGATTTCTTTAAGAATTTGTATTTCATATTGTAACAATTGCCTTTTTGATTGTGCATTTTCTGTTTTTAAAGCATAAACTTTTTTTGAATGATTATCTTGAACTCTGTAAATACCTCCAAATCCTCCAACGCCAACAAGTCCAATAACTTCATATCCGTGAATAGATTTTCCCGTGGGAACTACTTGCCTATCACTCATTAAAACAATTGAAATTTCATATTTATCCAAAATTATTCAAAAAAATTCTATTAAACCATTCAATTTTAGATTTTTTAACACAAATAATTATAAGAAAAAGTTTGATAATTGAATATAACAATAAAATCTCATTCAAAATCTTGTCGATAGTTAACAATATCTGGGGAAAACAATTCTGGTAATTGAAAAGTTTTTATTTTTTAATAAACAAAATGATTTTAAATAAGAATTGGAAATTTGGAGACTTGATTTAAATATTCTCTTTACATTATGGTTAGGATTTTTTTATTATAGGAAAAAAGAGAAAAATTTTTGTGAGTCTGTGTGGCATAGTGGCTATTGCGTAAGACTCATGATCTTAAGTTCGGCGGTTCAAATCCCCCCGCAGACGCTATTTTTCCCTGAAAATTTATTTCAGAATTTTTACCTCATAAAAGGATATTAATTAATCTTATAGTTCCTTTAGAATATAATATATATTTATTATAAAAATATATTGTTATTTTATTGTTTAAAAAAAGATTTAAACATATTTGATGAAGATATATGTACGAAAATTTTGAATTTACGATGATTTTGTTTTAATGGAAAAATTCCAAACTTTTTGTAAAAACTACAACTTTTTGATGAACATCAATATTTCTGATCTCAAAAAGTTAAATTGGTTGACCAATTTTTCATTAAATTTTAATAAAATTTATTCTTAAATAACGAGTATTTTTCAATTAAATAAAAAACGTGTTTTAAAATTAATCTGGAATGTCAAGAGTAAGCTCATCCTTATCGATAACATCTCTTTCAAAGCAGCAAACTAAAGCAATAGCTACAGGCGGAAATACAGGTAAAGCGAAAATATTGATGCAATTAATTGAACAATTAAAAAAAGAGAGAAATGAATATGAGAAAACAAATCAGCATTTGATGCAAAATACGCGATTAATTTGTGAAGAAAATCAAAAAATTAGAGATGAAATTATCAACAGAAAAGCTTATTACGAGAATATGTTAGATCGATGTTCAAAATCAACAAAAACGCTCGAAACAGAATTTGATCGAAGCAAAAAAGTTTCAAAAATTTATCATTTTTACAAAAAACAAGCTGGTAATCCCCAACCAACAAATACTGAATCATGTTTAATTACGGAAGAAATGAAAAGATATGATCAAGAAATTAGCGATACTGAAAAAAGCGCCACGCAGTTAATTAGTAAGTTTTCTGAATCAGAGAAAAATCTCTACTATTATCAGATTTTATTATCATTGAATTCCAGACTTACTAACATAAACAGATTGTTCGAAAAAGAAGCCCAAAATTGCATTTCAACAAACGATTCAAATCCTCAACTTTTTAAACGATCAAGATTAAACAGACTTCGACAAAAAATAGGCCAAGGTGATGAGATCAAGAGGGAGCTATCTTTGCTAGACGAAGATGCAGAAGATGAAAAACTAGCATCGACCAAAAAAGCCCTCAATGACATTTCAATTAATTTTGATCGTTGTCTCTCAATTTACAATGAAATTTTACTTATTAGCAAGAAAAGAACAATGATAGATGAGCTGGACTTTGATGATACTTCATACGAGGGAAGCTCGCGCTCATCTTCGAGGGCTTCTCAGAAACCTTCTTCAAAATTGAGTAGAAAAAAGCCAATTGAAATAACTCTTGATGAAAAAGTTGTGTCAAGTGTTCCTAAATCTTTCAGTTTGGAGGACGAAGTCGATGAGCTAAGAAGAATCGTAGGAAATGAAGGATTCGGCTACCTGAACGGAAGCGAGCGTGAAGAACAATACAGAAGGATGCAGAGCTTGTTTGTTCCTGGAAAATTCACTGCTTACGGATATGACGAGTCTACAGATTCAGAGAAAGAAAACAGCCAGAAAGAAGACAATCATTCTGAGCAACAAAACTCAGATGATCATCAAGAGGAAGAAACTCATCATGTAGACGATAATCAGGAGGAGGAAGAAGATGCTCAGGAGGTTGGTGATCATCAAGAGGAGGAAGACATGCAGCAAGCTAATGACTGTCAAGAGGAGGAAGAAATGCAGCAGGCGGAGGACTGCCAGGAGGAAGAGGAGAGCAGGGAAAATGACGGACAGCCAGCAGCAAATGAATTGGAGCACCAAGAAGACGAGGATGCATGCAAGGGCGATAAATCACCTCAGCAAGGATCAGCGAGCAAGGCCGGCAAGTCTCGCAAAAAGCACAAAAAGAAGCTGATAAAAATAAGGCGCCAAAAAGTATCGAAGCAAGATGTCGCCGTTCAAGCCTTTAACTCGATGAAATCAGTGCCAATCACAAAGCCAAAGCAGACCAAGAAAGACGATACAGTGCAGCCACCACAGCCAGACACAAAACAGGCAGAAGTAAACAAGCCTGTTTCTATTTCAATACTTGAAAAACTGGAGCAAAAGTCAGAACAAGAAAGCGACCAAAAAGCAGGAATCGATAACATAGAAAAGCAGAACTTAACAGAAAGTGACAAAGAAAAGAAGAACATTCTAGAAAGCAATAGCGAAAAGCATGCATCAGCGAGCGCATTGCAGCCACTTTTAGGGGACCCAACAAAAGATGAAGAAACGAAGCCATTCAAGCGCACGATAGGCAATGAAGTCATTACAGAATTCCTTCTTGATGAGTCTAAAGAAGAGTCAGACAAAGCGAACATGTCAGAGTCAGACAAAGCAAACTTTTTAGATTTTTCCACTGATTCGTATAACCTCGAAGAAAGCGCCACCTCAGTTGCGTATGAAGTAGGCTATGACTCACAGCCAAGGCAGCACAATCGCACACTCGGCAATGTGATCACTTCAGAATTCCAACTTGAAGACTTGGAGGAAGACTCAGACGCTGCAGACACGGAAGCAGAACAAATGAATCAAGAAGATGTGAATCAAGAATCAGAGCATGAATGTCCAAAACAGGCTCCAGATGCATCACGATCACTCCTGGTTCATCCAATAAGAAGCCGACCAAATAATGATTCAAAAAGTTATTTGAAGAATGTGGAAGAAGAGGCAACAGCATCTGAGTATCAGCTGAATGGATACGAAGGTCTCTCTGAGAAAGCAAGCACATCCAATCAGATATTGGTTTCTGATCATTCACAAAAAGTTTCTGATCAGAAGAAGAAAGAATCACTTTCACTCTTGGTGCATCCACCAAAAGATTGCCCAAGGCCAGATCCAAAACGTAGCCTGAAAAGTGCCGAGCATTGCACAACTGCTTCCGAATACCAACTAAACGAATTCGATGCTCTTTCCGATAAAATAAGCAACTCAAACCAAGTCTTGATTTCTGACCACTCACAAAAAGTCGATACCTCAAAAAGTGAACACTCTGAAAAAGTTCAACAAAATAGAGTTTCGTTCTCAATCTTAATGAACCAGCCAAAAATCAGCAAACTGTCAGGCTCAAGACAATCTAAAGACGAATCCGATGAAGATGCTCTTTCAGACTGCATCCTGACTGAAACAGACGAATCAGAGGCTCCTGTGAAGACACAAAAGTTCTTCCTGAATAATCAGCCAGAATTATGCACAGATACCGAGTCTGAACTGTCAGAAAAAGATGATGTCTCTGACATATCCGAGTACGTGTCCAACGAAACTGATGACGAATCGGACTACCCAATTAGAACTAAAAAATTCTTCTTGCAGCCACCGCCAGAACTGAGCTCGGAAACAGAGTCTGAGCAGCCACAAATGTCTGATTCATTTAAAACTTCAGTGTCACGTTTGATTCATTCACAAAAAGACCAAGAACAAGAGACTCCAGGCGTTGAAAAGAAACTGATGACGGGAGGCTTGCTTCTGGATTTAGAAGATGTCTCAGAGCCAGAGGAAGCACCTCAATCAAATAACTTCGGAATAGCTGCAAAACCTGCAGAAACACCTAAACCAAAGCTTCCAGTTCAGCAAAAACCAAAGCCAGAAGAACTGCCCAGAGCAAAATTAACAGGGCAACAAAAACCAACAGAAACACCCAAACCAAAACCAACAGAAACATCTAAATCGAAACCCGCAGAAACATCTAAATCGAAACCAACAGAAGCACCCAAACCAAAACCAATAGAAACTCCAAAATCGAAACCAGCCGAAGTTTCTAAACCAAAACCTGCAGAAACTCCAAAACCTAAACTTCCAGAGCAGCCAAAACCGAAGCCAGAGGAGCTACCCAGAGCAAAACCAACAGAGCAGCCAAAGCAAGTAGAGCAAGCGAAGTCAAAGCCAGTTAGAAAGCCTAAGCCAAATTCAGATGACCAGCCCAGGCAAAATCTGGAAGAACTGGCAAAAGCATCTCAGCAAGCCGTTCAGGAAGCCATAGCACTGCTTCTAGCAGACAAAAAGCGAAGCAGCGTTAATTCCGGCAAGCGGCAAATACCCGAGCACTTACTTTTGGACCTTGAAGAAGACCCAACGCCAACCAAGCCACGCAAAATCGAGCTATTCACAAAGCCCAAGCCAAAACCGGCAGAGCAGCCCATTCCACAGCCGGCCGAGCAAGCACAGCCAGCAGAAGAGAAGAAGCCAGAGTTGCCCAAGGCCGAAACGAAGACCAGTGACAACAAAAGGACGAGTTTCAATCTCCCTATTCATCCACCGAAAGCCAAGAAGCAACCACGCAAGAGCACCTATGATCCAAGCATTTTCTGCACCCCGATGAACGATCTCTACGGCCTCTATGACGACGATCTTATGAATGACAAAGAGAAAGTGCCAATCACCGTCACACTGAAAGACATCGAACTCGAAGGCCTGGACTCAAGCACGCCCGACAAGGCAATAATCAACAGGAGACTTGTGAAACAGAAGAGAAGCGACGAGCAGAGATCACACTCACAAAAAGGAAGCAGAAATGAACCAAAACTAGAAGCAAACGGAAATTCAGAAGTTGTTTGTAGATTCAATGCTTTCACTGCTCCTTCCACAGCTCGAAGAGACAAGCAGGCTTCACCAAGATCAAAGTCTGGCTTATCCGATGTGAATTCAAATCCAAAAAAGGAGAGTTTGCTCGATAAAGCCCAAAAGGCACATAAATGCCAGGCAGTAAAGCCAAAGACAATCCAAAAAAGTAAACCAAAATACAGAACAAATGCAGGAAAAAAGGGCAATAAAAAAGATGAAAGTAAACAAGAAGACAAATCAGCAAAAAAATTCTATAACGATATGACAAATAAACTTCCATCTGTTTTGATGCTCAGCAATCTTTGTTGTTTATCTGAATAAGCCATTTATAATTTATTTTTGAATGGTTTATATATTATATTAATAAAAATTATACTATTACGTAATATTATCCTTTTTTGTACCACTTTAAATAGAATTTACAAAATCACCGTTGAAGTAATAAAAAAAACTAAACCCCACATTACAATTAACTTATCT